TATATATATATATATATATATATATATATATATATATATATATATATATACATATATATCTATGTAAAAGTAAAAGATTTAAAGAGATTATTTGTATAATATTTTTAAAGAGATTATTTTGAGCAGTGATCCCAAGTTACAAATCAGATCCATTCTCTATGAGAATACAACAGAAGCCTCTTATAATAAATTGTTTATGCTTCCAAATGAGCAGCAATTACATCAAGATTATTCCAACTATCAAGAACCATGTCTGAGACAATCTTCTTAGAAGGAGCTCATGAAATCATAAAAGGAAGCATCTAATTATTTCCCTAGAAGAACCCTAGTAATAATTACAGGAAAAACCAGTACCAATTCCATCCCTATTTTGGGACTAAAACAGTAGATTTGTTGAAGAAAATGGTTTGAGAACACCAGATAACAATCTTCACAAGTGTCTTATCGGTAGATATTCTATCTTCTCCATACTGAATCAGTCACCCTAAAGCAACAAACATACACACATCATTTACATATATTACTTTTCCTCTGTGGTTGATTACTTTGAACAGATGCAGCATATAACCATAGAAGTTTCAGCTCTAATTATGTTACATAAACAACATATCTATGTACTTCTACCTATATCCAATAAACATCACTTGTGCTTTGTACATTAACAGATTCTCTGATGGTGTCGTCGGCTTACTGGGGCACTGGGAACTGTAGCTCTGGACGATTAACTGTAGCACTGCCGCTAGCCAAACCAGTGACTGGGCCTTGAGGGGCTGATGCATCTCCATCTCCGACGCTGGTGATATCGTGGATGCTCGTCCTTCTCCGTTCCTTGTTCATTGAATTCAAACGGATAAAGTATTTCTGTGCATGACTTGCAACTTGTGTGGGCGTCCTTGATATTACAAAGTTGCGAGATATGCTCCTCCAGTCTCCTTTCCCATATTTATCAAGTCCAAGAAGAAATAATCTGTCAAAAACCAGTCAATAGGTATAGAATTTAGGATGCTGCATTTTCAAGAACTCTTAGATAAAGAATGAAAACCTCGATTTAAAGGAATGATGAATGCTTGATTTTGGATGCACAAACTTCAGGTGTTGTGCAGTACTCTACATTATAATTGATGTGCATCAATTTTATGCATTTTCACAGTTTGTCCAAATCTTATACCAACCATTGAAGAAATTCAAAGCGACGGCACCATCTGGAAAGATCATCAACCATTGCTTTGTGTTGCTCATGATTTACCACAGTTTGTGTAACATCTATTTGTGTCATGTTTTCATACCAATAACAGGTCTAAGTGCAAAAGCAGGAGGCAAAATTACGGAAAAAAAAAAAGCAATGATTCAAAAGCTGCTAAGGTCCTTTGGCTTTCAGAACTTGCAATTATGATAGTCATAATAGCTGAGACTATGTGATCACATACTATGATAAACAAAGATGGGGTTCTGAAGTATTTACTATTTACTAAAACTATGGCAATGATTTACAGAAGAATTCATTCATTGGCCAAAAAACCCATTATAATTAGTCTAGCAATTTGCTGTTGAAATGGTTGACATCATGCTAGCAGAAATTGAAAAGAAAAGCAAAAAAGAACATCTCTGTTGCAATATGAAGCAAGATTCAAAGGTAAAAGTTGTTATTGAGGAAGGTGTGTTTAAGTTGAAAGGGACTTCCATCATCTAAAACACTTGGTCTGACTCTGACTGAGATAATACAGGAAGCTATCAGATGGATATGTCTATATGGTGCAAAGAAGCATCATCATTTCTTACTTGAATCATGTAAAGCACCAGCAATGTCTTTGCATATGTGGATGATACTGTGTTCAAACAACATAGTTTCTTGGAAATCTAAAGATGCATCTTTGCATTTATATCTGTCTCTCAATATTCTCTTAGAGACCAGAACTGCTAAATCAAGAAAAAGGTATTAGGTTGAATAATTTCTTTAATCAAGGAAAAGGCAATTTATTTGCCATAACTTCCAAGTTTTTCCAATCAAGAGCAAGAAGCTTAGTTTTATGTGTCTGCTCTTATTTCTGTTTCCATATACCAGCTACTCTAAACTGTGACAAAGCTCAACCTTCTCTAACCATTGAGTCAGTACCTTCAAAGTGTGCAATACTCAACCTTCTCTAACCATTCAGTATGAAATTTCCCATGTTTAACCAAACAACAAAAAGAGCAATCATTCCAACTCCATCTTCAAATGCTTAATCAACCTTACATGCTTTATCTAACTATTAAGAATTAAAGTTGTGTGTTTGCCTCAAAGTTGGTGTGTGTGAACTTGACATCAACCATATACGAAGCTAACCTGTCTCTTTGATATGATTTTTCACTTGTCCTTAACAAGGACATGAAGAAGTTCAAAAACAGGATGAAAATATCAGTTAATGAACAAAATATTTTCAGAAACTAGACCTGCCATAAGACCTTGAAGAGATTTGTTTGAGAAGGAACATCCAGCATCCCACAACCAATGAAGTTTCTAAGTCATTCTAGATTTGAACTTGGACTAGAATTTGTATCGATTATGAAGTTAAATTAGCATTTTGGCATATATTATCTGTGTCAACTGTATATTGCCACAAAGCACCTTAAATTTTATATTGCTTCATTAAATTCACAGATGTAAGATATGAATTATTATTACCTTTTCTAATTTTCTGATTTTGTAATGGTTTATTTTTCATGCTTCACAAATATCAGCTAAAAGTACCTGAAATAAAAATGTCTTAGATTAACCAGGAAAAATATGGGGCTATGACACTTAGTCGAGAAGCAGAAATAAGTTGGATATAAACCTGTGGAAGAGAGATAGGAGAGTTATATCTTGAACTTATCTACTTAAAAGTTAGAAAGGATGGGAAGATGAACTGGGGAACAATGATAATGTAGCAAATTACCTGAAGTCCTCGACACATTGTATGGCAAGGAAGAGGAGAAGAGATTAGATTGCACATGCAGCCATTGGCTCTGGTTAGGGATGCCAACAACTATGAAATTAGAGAACAAGTCAATTGCAGGTTGCAGCTCTAAATAAGAGTGCGGAATGGGTAGGAAGATGATGGTGACAATATCTAACATTTTTGCAAATGGAGGTCAATTTAGAAGTAATGAACACTTGATATTCTGGAAAAGTCAAAATAAAAAATGCATTATATTGTAGAAAATTCATGTTCTAATTTTACCCTGATCAATTTTTAACAATGCTCTGAACTCTGAAATTGCAAAGAAAAAAAAATGATCGAAAAAAACATTAACTATAGTGTTTAGTCACCTCAATTTGAGATCATCATCATCAACAACAACAATCTTATATTAGCTCAGCCTGTGATGATGCATTTACAGCAAAATGCTCTTCTGAATCAAAATTTTCCAGAATTATTCTCCTAAACATCTTGAAGACCTCACTGAATAGGCTACGGAAACTATGCAAGTTTAAGTAATACTTCTAAGATGCCGTGATAAACCTAGTTAATGTCCATATAGATCAAACAAGACTTGGGAGTATGGCCAACTCTATTCCTATTGGAGTAACCACACAGCTCTTCACTCAGATGACTACATGGGGACGTAAGTCTAGAACTCAACATATTTTGATTTTTTCTGGTATTCTGTGTCAAGGTAAACCTTGACACAGAATACCAGAAAAAAGGTATTTTTCATTTAGGCATGTTTAACCTGTCACAAGAAACACAAAGTACGCTAGAAGACATTTAAGGTCCAAAAGCAAAGAGTTGAAACAAAGAATTAAGAGTACTCATAAAAGTTAAGTTTTAACATAATTTTCTTTTATAAAGGTAATCTTTGTATTATAAGCATGTTCATGTATGAATGAAGTAGCTAACATTACTTTAAAATGGCTTTTTAGTGAACCCCAGAGAAATAAGACAGTAATCAGTATTCAACAATATCACATCAGCGTAAATTCAAGATAAGCAGAATCATAACAAGCTCACCTGTGCTCATCCTCAGTCCATGCTATTCCCTTTCGTCGTTCTTGATCTGACCTTGATGTTCTTCCACCATGACTGGGATCACCATGTGAGTTCCCTCCCTTTTTAGCCCCACCACCTTCGACAGGAAGATAGGATGGTACTGGAACTCGGCCAGATTCGATGTCATCGATGTCCTCCACCAAAAGTTCATAGTGGTGCCTGATATCCTCGATGGACTTCCCAGGCACACCAGCTGCAATTTTCTCCCACCGGTCACCGCAATCCTCTGGGTGAGTTGCCAAAGCGTTCTCAAATGCCTTCTCTTGCTCTCTGGTCCACACAGAACAGCAGCTTTCTTCTTCCTTTACCATCTTGCCAATTCTGTCCACTGAGCATGCAACTCACAAAAGGAAGGTGCTTTCCTGTGTCCTAAATTTCCTCTGCCTCAAACAGATGACCAGAAACACTTTCTCTTCAGCTGTAACAAACTGAGTCTGGACTACCACTCCAAATATGTCTGCTTGATGATTGATAACTGAGAAATCATGCAAAGATGGACTCTGAAGTCACACTTCGAGGTGCTTGAATAGCATCTATGCCTGCTTGGTAATTTAAAGGTGAGAAATACTGCAAAAAGGGGTTCTGAAGTGCTGCATGACCAAGTGAGGAAAGAAGAGGATGAACAAGAAGAAGAGAATGAAGACCAAGGCAACAAGAAGATGGAGCTTTCTGAAACTACAGGGAAGGCCTAAATCAAGCCCACAAGAACCAACCTGATGAAACAAGATAAAAAATTGAAGGAAGATAAGCACTCATACCTGGTAACAGAGGCAGCAAGAGGGGAGTTAGGGTTTGGTCTGGGAAACCGAGAGAGACCAGAACAACCAGAGACAAAGCCTGATGGATTTGCTTTGGACAAAAGAAACAGTTTTTATAGGTCCTGTTCAAAGCTTCAGCTCCTGAGATTACCAAGGCTGATAACCTCTCAAAATATCCCAATTGGTTTTACCTTTGACCTAGCTGTAAAAACCAAAACCTCCACCAATCCAATATCATCAAGAGAAATACACCAAGGTTTTACCTTTGGCCTTGCAGTAAAACCCAAAACTTCAACCAATCCATATCAACAAGACAAAGACAGCAGGAATCATGTGAAGCACAAGCATAAAGACCACAACAGCCAAGATTCCAATTGTAGATCCACTTGTGCTACTTCTGTCTGTTGCCACCAAACTGATGGATTGAGCACAATAACTTGAAACTGTTTGCATCATGCAGAGCAAAGAACATTATTTAATTAGATCACAGTCAAAATACAACAAAGACAAGCCTATCAAAGAGTAAAGAAGATTTCATTTTCCTACCATATCACATCAACCCTTAATTTAATTAGATTGTCTAATCCTTCTTAAAGTGGATGGAGTGTATCATCAGCATCAGTATGACACATCTTACATATGTTGGTGGTTGACTTCAGACTTACTCCAAACATCCAACTAGCTTTTATATCTTCAGCCATGTAAACTAACATCTGACCTCAGTGAAAAAAAAGAGAGGAAGTATAACAGAAGACAGAACTTTTCCAAATAAAAGATCTGTTTAATCTTCCATGTCCAAAGAGGAGATATGATGGATGAATCCAACATCCTGCAGTCACCTGCTGTGGAGTTAAAACTTGAATAAGACCCTATCTAATCCATTTGAAGGAAGATTGATTGAGCTTAAGCTGCCAAAGAGAATGGTCAATGCAATCTTGACTTGGGATTATGATAGCTTTTGCAGAAACCTAAACATCCTGTGCTTCTTGCAACACATCAAACAAGAAATGGCCCAACCATGTATAACAAGTATGCCCATTTAAAATCAAGAAATACAATTCTTTTCCATTGCAATCTGACCTCTTCTTGAAATACAAATTTTGGACCAGAACTTTCAAGAACCTTCTACTTAGATCTGATTTGTCTGGTGCATGAAAACCTCCTTTTTCATCTACAATGGAAACCATCAGAAATTATACTTTGCTAAAAAATAGAGATTATTAAAAATACCTAACCAAATTTTCCCTGTGCCACAGTATCCCAAGCTGTGGGCTAAAAGTCTCGTGTCAGAATCCACCCACGCCCATTGAATCTTTGACCAAGCGGCAAGCGCAGTAGGACCTCAAAATTACATATGCACCCCTACAAAATTTCTTATTCCCTTATTTACCCTCTTCTTTTGATTTTTTTCCATACATACCCCTGAAAAGTTAAGCAGCTTAAAACCATATGCCAATTTTTGAACCTTAAATTAACTAGTATTATTTTCATAAAATAAAAATATTGAGGATTCAACTAATTCAATGAAGTAATAAAGGACACTTGAGTGTTAAAAAAAAGTGATATATGTTAAATATGTATGAAAAATATATGTTAGATCTGTAGCTGTAATGTTCTGAGGGGTAAAAGTGTCATTTAAATAATATCCGAGGATAGAAATGTAAAACCGTCAGGTAATGAATGCTGTCGCTTTGGTCGGCGCACGTGTCCGGTTATAGCCCGACAACGAACGAACTCGTCGTCCCGCGCCACGCGATTCTTGAGACAAAACCAGCAGCCTGCTTTGCTCACATTCTAAACCCACGCGCTGCGCCCCACGCGTCGCCCGACACCGTGGGCGACCATGGTTCGTTCAGGGCTCATTTCCTCCTATTTGTGGGATCCATCCTTTCTCATGAATCACAAGACAGGTACAGTAGCGTGTAAGTTGATGAGTAGGTAAATGAATTATCCCTCCCAAACTGGTGTGCTCTGCCAGTCGCGACGGAGTGCATCTGACCGTACGTCTTGCACATCGGACGGTCCAGACGTTTCCTCGCTTTTAAAATACCATGGGTGCGAAGATGCGCGTTTCTCAGCCCCGCGGAGACGTAATCGACTGCCTTCTCGTGCCTCTCGTGACGGTGTCCATCGGACCGCACATCACACGTATCGGACGGCTGAGGCCCCTGGGCCCGTCACCGGATCACATTCGAAAGCCAAAAAGCAACCGCCGTCGGATTTAGACATTCGCGTTTCTCGTACGATTCCCGCGGACGGGGCGAACTTAAATGGCGCCCCAGTCTATCGTGTTCCGCACGAAGCCACGGTGAAGTGGAAGAGAACGCCGGAGGAGGAGGGAGCGCATAACTAGGTTTCCATTTCTGCCTTCGTTTTCTGCTAATGGATTGATGATATGGTGAAGAAGTTGATCTCTTGTTTTTGCTTCTGATCTTTGATCCTGTTTACGATCTGCTCTCCGATCAGTTTGATCTCCAACTCGGCACTTTTTACCTTAAAGTTGGCACCTTTGATCGGTTTTCCGCTGCCTTGGAGTCGGACATCATCATCGGTTTCATTTGTGTGGGATTTCGTCTGGGGATTTTGCGGGAGGATGGCGAACATCGACATCGAGGGGATCCTGAAGGAGCTGCCAAGCGACGGGCGCGTGCCGAAGACGAAGATCGTGTGCACGCTCGGGCCGGCGTCGAGGTCGGTGCCGATGCTGGAGAAGCTGCTCAGGGCGGGCATGAACGTCGCCAGGTTCAACTTCTCGCACGGGACACACGAGTACCACCAGGAGACCCTTGACAACCTCAGGGTCGCCATGCACAACACCCAGATCTTGTGCGCCGTCATGCTCGATACCAAGGTCGTCTTCCGTTCTCTTATGATCCTTCATCTGTTGCTAATTTATCGCATAGAAATGGTCTATAGATTATCAATTGGTCTAACTGATGCAAAATGCAGGTTTGCCATGTTGCAGCATGCGACCATGATGGCACTGTGTTGGCATGATAGCATCTTGTGGTTGTTTTGTTTATCTTGCATATGTATTGCCACCTTCTAGTGATAAGTCATCTCCTGCTACTTATGTGCTGATCAAGTTTATTTAACTCATCCCCTGTCACTTTGAATTAGCCTTGTATAATCTTCAGGCAAGCGTTTTGTAAGCCTTGAATATTCTCACTATTCTGATTTTAGTTGCTTATTTTTTCTTTTACTTCCCTGGAATCATATTGGGTATCTCAGCTAACGCAGACTTTTTGCTGTTGAATTGCAAATTGGTGATGACGAATGTAGATTTTCACTTGCTCTGTTTGTATTAGCATTTTACATACTTGATACTTAATTTGTATGTTTTAAGTTCACAGATACCTTTACTTATCCTCTCACTTTGACATTATATATATATTCATGCAAATTGATCAGAGATCTGGAATCCTTTGAGCTTTCTTGCCAAGATGAGCTCACTTTGACTGTTATGTCATTTAGTTGGTGGATTTAGCCTAATGGTTCATGATTCCAATAGCTATTACTACTTTTCATGAAAACGATCCATGATCTTATTATGGTTCTCCACTGGAGACTTGAGACAAATTGCCAGATCTTGGAGTCTTTTCGTTATCCATCCATGAACAGGAGGAAAATATGATTCCATAAGTGAGAACCAAAGATCCATTCGATAATTGTCTCCTATGAATTTCAAACCATCACACCAAATAGGTTCATTTGAATCCTTTTACTTCATATTAGAAATCTGCTTAGTCATGTATACGCAGTATAGTAATATACTTGTGGTCTAATGTTGTTGCTGGATATCCTGCCCTCCGAAGTGAATCCTTTATAAAGACTTTAGAGCTCATTAATTACCCAACTAGATTGACCAAGTAAAATACAACTAGTCCTGTCAGAGCTAGGCACAGAACTACAACTTCATTACAAGAAATGAAGTTATTCCTCCATCTATGACTAGACTATAAATTTTGTCATTGCATGAGAGGTATGTCATACAATTTAGTATGGCTAATCTATTTAGCCCCTTCTCTTTGATGTGTTACCTTTTGAACACATATCATTTTCTGCTCTCTTTTCTAAATGGTCCATGGATATTGAACGCGGTTGATCATATTTAATGAGCCAATCGGGAAGTATTCTGGCTCTACATGTAAATGTTGGTTATAGTTTTTTTGTTTCCCTTGATGGTCAACCTGCTAAAAAGTTCCATTGTTCTGGAACTTAGAGGATCATGCTCATGGTTGGGGATAATCGCACAATGCAACGTTGAATATTTTGAAATTGCTTGAGACTGCCATATGTTTATCTAGTTGACATCTTTTGGTTTCTGATTCCATTATCAGGATATTGTTATCATCATCATTTGCAATCTCTGATTGATTGTTGTTATTCTGTGTTGATATTTACCAGTCCTTGATGGCCCAACCAATTACGCAGTCACCATTCAGACAGATCAACCTGGCTGACCCAAAAGGGCCTTTTTCTGGTTTCAAAGCATTCCTATGAACTAGTATGTGGATCAAAATGCTTATTTAATGGTATATATGATGCAGCCCGAGGTTGATTGAATCATTGATGGGCAGAATCGAAATTGAGATGTTTGCAAATTAGGATTTATCTAGATTGTAGTTTTCTTTTTCAGATTTGATCAGATCAATTTCCGTAAAGAATTTGAATATATTCAAGCTCTCTCTTAACTAGATAATGATTGATCTTTCAGCTTTATTTCTTATCTCGTAGGTAGTGGGGTTCCTATGTAGTAGGAGAAGTGTTTCGTTTAATTTGTGCTGATTCCAATTCTTTAATCTTCTTTTGCAAGATTTTTTTCTTTTTGATTTTTCAATCTGTTGATTAATATGCCATGCATATTGCTAACCTGTTTGTGTTGTCACAGGGGCCTGAGATTCGCACTGGCTTCCTGAAGGATGGCAAACCTATCCAACTTACAGAGGGTCAAGAAATCACAATTAGCACGGATTACAGCATCAAGGGCGATGAGAACATGATTTCTATGAGTTATAAGAAGCTTCCTTTAGACTTGAAACCTGGGAACAGCATCTTGTGTGCGGATGGTACAATAACCATGACTGTGCTGTCATGTGACCCAGGTGCTGGAACCGTGAGATGCCGCTGTGAGAATACTGCAAAGTTAGGTGAGAGGAAGAATGTCAATTTGCCTGGTGTTGTGGTGGATCTCCCTACACTGACAGAGAAAGATAAGGAAGACATCCTAGGATGGGGTGTTCCTAACAATATTGATATGATTGCACTGTCGTTTGTCCGTAAAGGTTCAGATCTTGTTACCGTTCGGAAGGTTCTAGGACCAAATGCAAAAAGCATAAAATTAATGTCAAAGGTCTGTATTCCAAACCTAGACTGTCATGCAGCTTCTTATCGCACTGGTATACCTAATTTTTCGGCCAATTATTTCGGAAAGCATCAATTGTCTCTTATAGATGTAGACATGTCTTGCTTATTCAAATATCTGGAAGCATTAGGTGTTGTACACACTTGCTTTCGGTGCTAGTATTAATCAGCTTTCAGATTAACCGGCAGTATCGCATCTGTTTTTCATGCATGGACATGATTTCTTGGTGTACAAGGTTCCTTAAGTTATTCCTTCTTAGACTGATAATATTGTGAGCTCAGCTTTGATAATTCTTTGTTTTACAATCTTCTATCATGAATAGATCGTAGTGAAATATTAGTGATTCATATATTTGATTTTGCTATTGGTTTGTGTAGGTTGAGAACCAGGAGGGTGTGATTAATTTCGATGATATACTAAGGGAGACAGATGCCTTCATGGTTGCTCGAGGTGATCTTGGGATGGAGATACCCGTCGAGAAAATTTTCCTTGCTCAGAAGATGATGATTTACAAATGCAATCTTGCTGGAAAACCTGTTGTCACAGCCACTCAAATGCTCGAATCCATGATCAAGTCCCCTCGCCCAACTCGTGCTGAGGCCACCGATGTTGCCAATGCTGTTCTAGATGGCACGGACTGTGTCATGCTCAGTGGTGAGAGTGCAGCCGGTGCATACCCAGAGCTTGCAGTAAAAATCATGGCGCGGATATGCATCGAGGCTGAGTCCTCCCTTGACTATGAAGCCATCTTTAAGGAGATGATTAGATCTACTCCTCTTCCTATGAGCCCATTGGAGAGCCTTGCTTCATCTGCAGTTCGCACAGCTAACAAAGCGAGAGCCACATTGATCGTCGTCCTGACTCGCGGTGGCACCACAGCCAAGTTGGTTGCCAAGTATCGGCCTAGAGTTCCAATCCTATCAGTGGTGGTTCCAGTGCTGACAACCGATTCATTCGACTGGAGCGTCAGTGATGAGGGCCCTGCAAGGCACAGCCTTATCTATAGGGGTCTTGTTCCCCTGCTGGCTGAGGGTTCTGCCAAGGCTACTGACTCGGAGTCGACGGAGATGATCTTGGAGGCAGCACTCAGGTCAGCAGTGGAGAAACGACTTTGCAAGCCAGGAGATGCAGTTGTTGCACTGCACCGCATTGGCGTTGCATCTGTCATAAAGATCTGCATCGTGAAATGATTTGCAAATGTTAGAAAACTACTGCAACTTATCCTGCTGATGATTTTGCTATCAATTTGCTGCCTTTATGTGTTGTAGCAACAGCTTACAGGCAAGTTCTTACTTGTCATAATGAGTTGGGAATTAGAGGGATCCATTTTACTTGAAGAGTTACATCTTGTTTTATGTATTTTCATGGATTCCATGCTTTTTAAGCAATTAAAGAGGCAATTAATGAAGATTGAAGTTTGTGATTGCAAGTTACTCGAAAATTATTTTGATGAGTGTCTGTGCAAAAATATATTGTCATCAATATCAATCTATTTGCTTCTGATCACAGTGATAAAAAGGTTGGCTGCCTCTGCAGAACCTTTACAGATTAATTGACACAGAACTGAGTTTGTCATCAGAATCACTGTGCAAGGATCAATAACATGCACTGAAAGCGGCAGACAAGCAGATCAGTCCACGATGGAACACAATCATCATCACAGAAAACATAATTCGATGATCATTTTTCACATAAACACTAGTCATCAAGCATTGGTGACAGCTAAAGGTAGACATCAATACCTGGATTTGCAAGTGTAGCATGAGCCACAATGTTTCAAGATTTTAACATGCCAGCCCTGAGTTCTTACTTCATTCAGGGTTAAAACTTCAAGCATTGTGATTTCAATGGTTACTTTGACTTCAAGTCAGGAAACAGCAGAAGCAGCAGCTAAACAGAATTTGCATTTTACCTAGCACTGGACTTGCAACCAACAAATCTTGCAGACCTGAAAGATGCAACAAGAAGACCAATTTCTGATTCAAATTTGTTGATAAGCTTTCACTCTTTCTTTTTTTCTTTGGTTGTTCAAATCGTGATACAAGAAAGAAATAAAGAAAAAGTCGCCTCTTAGCCTTCTCAACCTAACAATTGAAGGCCTCGGCAACTTAATCCAATTCCAAGCAAATAAAAACTTTACTAGGAGCGAATTTGTCACAATGAAAAAATACAAACACCTCATATGCAGCCAACCTTTGTAGAGGACAGCAAAGCCCACTCTTATGATGACATAGCAGTTATGTTCCAGTTGATTCTCTTGTATTGTGGAACTTCTTTCTGTACTGCTTTCGTAGGTATATTCTCTTCACATGCTACAGAATGGACTCAACTTCGCTAATTGCATAGATGTTAGATCACAGTTAGAATGCTTAAGGTCAGCTTCGGCACCCAAATCTGTAAGGCCCATTGTCTGCGCCCAATGATTAGCTTGTAATGGGGAGGCAAGTGGTCTAAAGAATGGCAAATCCACTATACAAGTGTAAATATATGTTAGTCACAACATGTTCTGGAGGGCAAGATTCAGCTCCTTCGCAGACTTTGCAATGGACCCTCCTCGTCTGTCAAAGTCCAAGTAAAATGCATTTAGATTTTTTATATATGGGAGATTAAATTTTACTGAAAAAAGAATGACAAGAAAGAATCCATCATGATTTCATCTCTAATCGATCTAAGCTACAGTTTTTGGTCATTGGGTGTACAGTTTTGAGTATTTTCCAATTCAAAACCAGTAATTTTTACATTTCAAAGTTAGCCGTCTCTTGTTACTTTGGCAGTAATCATAGAAAAGTAAGATTATATATCACCTTATCAGCAAAGAAATCCTATGTTTGACCTTCTCCAGCTCAATGAAGCACAAGTTGCACCGTTCCAGCCTATAGTGAATAGAGAAAATGGTTACGGAAGCACATTACTAATGGTTCGTTGTAGAAGCAGAGCTCTAGAAGTTGGTAAACTCAACAAAACAAAAAGACCACATGAAAGCAAACCTCTGCTCTGCTTGAAGATCAACACCAACAGACGGACCTGCTGACAAGGTTGAACTGATCACAGGACCAAAGATCCTGACAAGCTTCAGCAACATTTCCAACGAAATACCAAGATGCCTGCAACGGAGAGAGACAGCAAGTGATGTTATCACAATTAGTTTGCGCTGGAAACAATGTACTAAACCAACAAAATTGCTAATCCTCAACCTCAATGCATACAGTAGATGGATCTAGACACAAGTGCAAGTACCATCCTCAAGCTCAATGCTTGGTCTCGAGGCATGAAATACCTAAAACTATCTGCTTTACCAAAGGTTGACAATGGACTAGGATGCCCTAAAAGCAAGCCAAATTTAAGGCAGAATAATATAAATAAAAAAATATAGTAGAGAAGCCTAGGTAATTAAACAATGAATGGCTCCCAGATAAAACAACGCTGAGACTATTGACTATTGGATATACAAGCAAGATAGCCACACAAGGAACTGATGGAAGCATACCTATCCATCTTACTTTCAAGAAGGCTAGCGAGGAGAGGCAATAGAGCTGTGCATATATCCAGAGTGATGATATCACTTTTATCCATTAGAGAACTTAATACATCAGCAGAGACCTGCATTATATTATCAAAACAGTTAGAGGTAGAACTTTGATATCTGAAAACACAGCAGAGTAGAGGTCATACAGCATGATCAGACATCTTCTCGATTGCACTAATAACACCCTTGATGTCATTTCTTTCCCAAAGTCGGTAAACTATCTGCAAGTTGTACATAAAGCTTGGACATCATGCACATGGTTAACTCATTTTCAATCACTTCTTAAAATTCAGAATAGCTTATTAAAAGCAATGAAATTTTTTTGTGCCAACATGATGCTGCCAACTTGGAACAACTTTCAGCAAATGCCAAGAAAGTTTCTATATTTTTTTTGCCTTCGTTGTTTCAAACTGAACAAACAGGGAAACAATAAGGGTTCCTAACATAAGAGAAAAAAAGAGCTGAGGTGTTCCGTCAATAATATAGGAAATCAATTTAACTTCTGTTGTTAGGAAGCACAAATGTTCCATTGCATTTAATATCTAGAATTGTATATTACTTTTCGGAAGTCAGGCATGACTGAATAAGCATAAATGTAAGAGGCTTCATGACAGGTTACTATGGCCAACAAATATCCTAGTTTAAGAACCAACAAAATAAAATGCAAAAAAATATTTATAAATTTGTAAATCAAGTAAAATACAAATAGCCAAATTTATGACAATATGGTGCTGAGAAGCAGATTTCCAGTGACGATGAAAAGTATCACATATTGTAATGTCCATGGAACCAAAATATTCCAGTGATACAAAGTCCCCAATAGGGCAGTCACAATTTTGGACATCTTGCAAACAAATAAAAAAGAAAATGTGCCTTTGAGTTTAATCGGATCAAAGCAATTGGCCCTCACTTAAAGATACAATTTTGTGTAAAATCATATGGCAGGTTCTATCCGTTTTTTATTCAAGAAAATATGAGCAACTGAAACATAAAACTGTTTGATGCATGAATGCTTTTAGAGGGGACAGATCTTTAGATGCCAAAGTAGGTTGCTCCTTTGTTATCTATATAATTAGGGTGAGTCGAGGGAAATGGTCTCTCTACCTACATGACCCTCAAAAGAACAGACCTCGTGCACCGGGCTGTCCTTTTTTATATGAATGAATACTTTTAGAGTATTGGGAATTCAGAACTCAAGAAACATGCCATGTACATTTTGGGGCTGATGAGAACAAGCACAGCTTTATTGAATCATATAAGTGAGAAACATGAGCAACAAAACCGTTTCAGGTCAGTAACTGATTACCCAAGGCACAGACTGATCAAAGATTCCAATCATTGATCAATATTGATCAATGATTCCAATTGTTTCTTATAGCAGAAATGGGAGTTTCAGTATGAGGACAGATGTCGCAGATCTAAAGAGGTTTTTGTACAATTTCCTTGTGCCCCATATAGTTGGGACACATTCTAGATTGTTGTTGTTGTTTGCTTGTGCCCCAGAGTGTTATCACACAGCCTGCTCTACAGAATCACAAGACACAAATCATTTTACCTAAGATATAAAATTTTAGGCTTGTTAGTTTCATGATAACCCATGGGAAGCCAATAAAGGTGACAAATAATGTTGCAAGTAGCATGTGGTGGTAGGTGGAAACCTAGCATATTTATAGGTTTCAAATCCGTGAACCCAAATCAAGCTCACTAGCATAAATTCACAAAAATACTGTTAAAAAATTTTGTTTTAATAGGATAGAATTTTCCATAAAGGTTTCATGTAGTAGAATATCAAATTTATACAATCAAACATATAAAACATAAAACAAAATCAAGACCCAAAATGATATACATCTCAGATAGACTCATCAGTAAACATAATAGTGCAATCCAACTACAATCTTTGCCTTATCATCATCCCTCATTTTGTTTTGTTAGATATTAGCAAAATTATCATCTCAAATTGTTAGCCTAGGACCATTGAGAATATAACCTGGTTTGCTTTAAGATATTGTTTTATCAGTCAACTCAACCATGTTCTAGTTATTCATAACAAGGGGATGCTAGCTGGACCCAAACGGGCGAGTTGCAACAGTAACCATGTTGCCAATGGCCATGTCAATGGCCTGCTGGGTTATGTAGTCGTAACAAGGTGGCTGACAAATTAGCTTGTCTTGGTCAAAGCCTAGATTGTGCAGATTTTTTTGGGTTTACTCTACTCATGCTGGAAGAGATTCGCCAGCCAGGCCATGCAAAACTCATGTGAGGAACTGATGTAATTCAGCCTTGGAATTTTGTCTTCCTAAATAAAATGGTCATGCCAACAGTGGCTGCTCTAGTATATGCTGATAACGAGGGCCTTGATCTGATACGGTGTCTGCTGCAAACCTAATGCCAAGAACCTTCGGAGAAGTCACAGACTCACAGTAGTGGTACGGTACCTGCAGAACTTAACCAATACAGTGGCCACCATGACGATTGATGTGATTAAGAACCTCAACAACAAGATCGATGTCCAAACAATGAGAGCAAGGTTGGTGTACAATCATAGATTACAAGATCGGAATTGGGATAAGGATTAGCTAAGGGTCGTATGAGCAGAATTGGCGAGATCAATCTGATTAGATTTATAAGATCAAGATCAGGCAAGAAAATAACTTCAAAATGAATTAAAATAGTATAATATCAGAAAATAAAAATTTGGGCAACACAAACATTATGTACTTAAATATTCTTTTATCCTCATTTCACAACACAACTTAAAAATACATGTAATGAAATTATGGAGACTAAAAATTACATAAATTATAACAGCAAAAACAAATAAAATTCATTAAAAATATTTATTTAAAAATAAAGATAATCATATTGATGGAGATAATTATTCCACTTATTGAGTATAG